ATCTTGCCACTCCTGGTTCCTCTTTGATGGTTGATATAGGAGACCACCGTTGTGTTGTCTGTTCTTATCTTTACCCATCGTTGCCTGAGATGTGCCGAGAAACGTTTCAGAGCCTTGAGAACCGCTAAGAGCTTTAGTAAATTGGAGTGCATGTTGCTTGTCGTGAATCCCCATTCCTCTTGTGCAAAGTTGTGGAGACAATGAGTACCCCATCCCCATTGGCTGGCATCTGTCGTTACTGCTACCCATGAGACGTCCCCCAACGGGAAGCCCCTGGATAGGTGCTTCCTGTTCAGCCACCAGATCAGAGAATGGCGTATGGACAGGGGAATCTTGATGGGTTGGAAAAGATTCCGGGAGGAAAATTGTAGCTGAAATTGGCTTGGAACGGTCTCATTCTCCACTGTGCCCACCTGGTTAGACCTATTGTGTAAGACATAGATCTGAGCAGACTCATTGCCATCTTTGCAGGAACAACTCTGGATATTAGCATATTTCTCAGTTGCTTCTTGAGCTTCACAATCCTTGACTGAGAAAGTTGAACGGTACCCATCAGCGTGTTGAAGTGTAAGTATACCATAGATTCAGTTGGATGGAGGTGGCTCTTCTTGGCGTTGATTTTCCAGCCATGTGCTTGTAAAAACTGGATGCTGGTGATAGCTTGGGAGGGCAATGTATCCCTGTCGTCTCCTATGATCAGGATGTTGTCTAAATAATGGTAAATAGCGATATTCCGCTTCCTCAGTTCTGCAATCAGAACCACCAATACCTTTGTGAACGTCCTCGGGCCGTACTGAATCCAAATGGAAGGGCTCTGAACTGGAAGTGGCCTTCTTCTACTGCGAACCTTAGGAACTTTTGGTGAGCCTTCGCAATGGGTATATGGAAATATGCGTCCAATTGATCTATTAATAACATCCATTGGTTGGGGAACACTACTCTGATTATAGACTGAAGGGATTCCATTTTGAACCGGCGGATGTGTAGATGCTTGTTTAACCTGTGCAAATCTCACTCCTGGTTCCAAACTCCTGAAAGGAGGAGGAAAAGAGAAATATCTGAAACTAACTTACTTTAAGCAAAATCCAAAGTCCAAGCTTCCAGGAGGGATAAGAGGTGAGTATACAGAATATCCTTATTCAGCAATCGGCTATTGCTGGTATAACATAGAAATTTGAGATTGGCACTTTAAAAAGGGCATCTGACGTCATGTGTAGCCCGAACTAAACTGCGGAACGTTGAGATATTGACGAAAGGAAACCACACGCGCGTGAACCGGCAAGGCCTGGCTAGCGCCCGCGCGCTCATATAGACACGAATGACACGCATGTGCACCGAAACATACGGGGTAGGAGGTGTACTTATACCTTTCAATTATTAATCCTGTCCAATTGGGGATAGGGAGAAGCTACCCAATGTTGTGCTGCCATGGATACGGCCAGGAAATAAATATATATATATGTATATATATATATTGTGACCTTTATGGGCAAAGCAACACAGTCCTCTAGGGTAACAGGTATAGAACAACAGTCTCTTATGCAAAAATGGTGTGGTTTATTTACATTGTGCACAAAAATCCATGCAGCAATCAGTTTGTTCAAAACTTTAGCAAAACAGAAAGGAAAGTCTAGAAACAAAATCCTAGCTCAAATTCGAGCACTAACTAAACATAAAGTAATGTCCCTTTCTAAACCAGGGTAATAAACTACACAAATCTATAAAATAAACATTGGTTTCACCAACCATTAGCACTTTGTTTGGTGCTGCTCTGCACAGACCTGCTCTCTCTGCAGATCAGATTGTATCTCCTCCTTTCTGCTCTGAGACCTGCTAATTAAAGCCTCAGCAGTTGCTAATTGGGAAGGTGAATGAGTACAGGCTATGGAGGAGTCTGGGTCCTAAATACCTTCCTTCTATTACCCTCCCATAGACTCTGTCACAATATATATATATATATATATATATATATATATATATATATATATATATATATATATATATATATATATATATATATATATATATATATATAAAATACCTTTTTGATTGCATATTGCAATACTCTGGTATTTTGGCATCTTTTCTACTGGACTAATACAGCTAATCCAATCTACAATTAGATACTGCAGTCCATGGCTGGTTTCTGGTAACTGATCAGTTTGGCTCATTGCCTATGCTTTGGTTTAAAAAAAAATGTGTTTAAAACAGTGCCCATTGTTAAGGGTATCTGGTGAAATGCAATATGAAATCTGAAAAATTATGCCTGTCTGTGCTCATTTACATTTCAAGCAGGAAACGCTGGGGTAGTTGTGGAAAAATATGTTTTTCAAGTTTCTATGCCCTAGAAGGTCCCAAAGGCCACCTTGTAATATGCAAGTGATGCACAACAGTAATATTTTGCATTTTAGAGAGTATTGTGTTTGGCCTCACCACAATCTGTTTGGTACTTAGCCATATGCTCTCTTTCAGGCCAGAAGTGTTGCCATGCTGAGAAGCATGACCATGCTGATAAGATCCACAAGGCTGAAACTCCTGGTATGCAGCCTGTGAAAGGGAAAGAGGTAGATGTAATAATTGTAGCAGAAATAGGACATGCAACACTTCCACATGATGACAGGAAGAAGTTGTGTTCATAGAGAAATAGAAACAGCAAGAGCAAGTCAGCTTTAATTATTTTACTGCTAATCAGTCCACACAAGTTATGTTCCCCTGCATTCCCTTCAAGTCCCCCATACTTAGTTCCATTTGAACAGCAGCACAGAGCTAGAGCGTATGAGGAGTAGTAAAGCAAACATTTATTTTTTAGGATCAATGGGTCTATTTCAAGGGCTTGTGCCTGAAGTTGTATCTCAATTAGCACCTCTGTTAATCCAGCCTTATCCTTTTGGATTATAGCTCATGCTTTGGTTTACAAAAAGCTGTGTTTAAAACAGTGTCCATTGCTAACGGGAGTATGAAGATTGAAACACAATGCCAGTGTGTGCTTATTAGCATGTTAAGCTGTAAACTCTGGAAAAGTTGTGGAAACATTATCTCTCAAGTTTCTACGCTGAAGAAATTTGAGATATGTAGATGATGCAGTAATTATTTTGTATTTGCACTGTGGAGAGTTGTGTCATGTTAGTCCTCACCCCAATCTTTCTGGTACCTATCTATAATTAAAAAAACAAAACAAAAATAAAAACAGTGTGTTAGTATATCTATATCTAACCTGCAGTACATATATGACATCACAAAAGTGACACTTTTTATATATTTGCAAAGAACCATGTTATCTAAATATTATGATTTGTTCTTTTTATGATGATTTAATTTGATTTCATGATTTTAAGGGTGAGGTCGAACCCAGTAAGACAACAAACTCTCCTCCAACTTGAGCCAGGTTTAGGTGGCTCAGCAGATTGTGAGTTTAAAATTAAAAAGCCACAGTATACACAGATTTTTTTTTGTTTTTGTTTAAGCACAAGTTTCAATATTACTGACAGATAAATTAAATCCACTTTTTCATGGTTTATGATTTAATTTGTGTTATTTTAATATAACTATATGTTTTAATGGTTTCATGATTTTTATTAATTAAAAAAATATAATTGAAATGACTAGTAAACCTTAGAATTTCTAAAAGTATACATTTAGCAGAAAATGCATGCCTAAAGTTACCTATATTATTAAAAAAAAGATATAAAATGTAAAAAGGTAATAACATCTATAATATCTCTTTAGTATAATATTAATAACGTATGTTTTAATAGTAGAGATATAATCTATGGTTATATGACCACATAGCCTAAATAGCCTAAATAAAATGGATATATGGTCACTATTAAGACCAAAAATATATTTCATTAAGGAAACTACACTGGCTACCAATGAATTTACGATGCAATCTAGGTTTAAAAAAAAAAGACTCAAATACAATTTTTCACAGTCTTTTGTAGATTGTATGGTTGTGTGCCTGTATTTGTTTGATTGTGTGCCTGTATATCCCTGTATATTTTAGAAAACTTTAAGTAGATCTCACACACACTGTGACAGTATGATCTATATGTCAGCTGGCTTCTTCATAATTTTATCTGTCTTAATAAAACCATGCTGATTTCTACTGTATAATGTGTTCTTCACATGAAGACTTTGTTTATATTAGTTTAATATTGTTTAACTTTTATCCTACCAGCAACCATTTACCAGCAATTCTACAAGCATAGGTTATTTCTTGCAATACTAAAGAACAAAGTATTTAGAATTTCTGCCATGGTCCTTATTTACATGGCACCCATTTCAGACTTGAAATGGGTATCTTAGTAAATGAGGACCATGACAGCAATTCTAAATACGCTTTAATTGTTAAAAATTTTAGCAAAAATGCACTTAAAATCTTCTTTTGGGGGCTGGTCTTGCTCTTTTTGGGTAATTTGCTTTTTATTAGCAGATCATTTTCCATTTAGGTACGATCCATCACAGCAATAAAGATTGTACCCAAGCAAAAAATTAGTATAGTACTCTAAAAATCTCAAACCCTCCTTTTTACACCAAGACATAAACCACACATTGACCTTCTTAATCTCCCACTGCCTTTCCACTGTAGCACAGAGGCACATGTAGAACATCAGGAAATACTACCTTAGAGGTTCTCTAGTTCAGTTTGTTTCTTCGGATTTTTCAACTTACCTGTTTCCCTGGAGCCAGCCAAAACTGAGCAGCCAGAGATGTCGGCCGTCCACTCCTGATGATGTCAGGAGGAGGGGGCGTGACTTCCACTGTTCTTCTCCTAGGACATCATCAGGAGAAGCCAACTTCACTGGCTGCTCTGTTTTGATTGGCTGCTGGGAGACAGGCTCCTGGCTCCGGGCTCCTGCCCACTCCTCTCTGGCCTAAGGTAAGACTCAGGGGTGGGAGGTGGGGGATACACTTTAGTTTGTTTTCTTTTTCTTTTTTAATTCTTTATTTTTGTTGTGAGGGTCTTTTGTAATTCGGGTACCTGTCCCCTGCCATGACTCTCAAGTGTCCGCTAGGTGTCGGTTTATCCGCTGCGCCTTATAAGCAGTGGAGGACGAGGTGGTGTTTGCAGGCTGAAACAGTCTGACGTTTGCTACATCCCAGGTGTGGTGGGACTTTGGCCTCTGATCAGTGGTGGCTTGTTCCTGTCGTGGCGGGGGGTCGGAAATAGACTCAATTGCGCCCCTGTGGGTGATGATCAGGCTTCTGGGGAATGCCCAAGGGTACGGGATTGTGTTTTGGCGGAGAGCGACAGTCAGGGGTTTGAGGAGGGCCCTCCATAGCAGCGTAGGCCTAGATAGGTCCTGAAAGAATGACAGGTTGGCTATCTCGAAGAGGTGGGTGGCCTTCCCCCTCACCACCGCCATGAGAGTTGTTTGGCACGACTGTGATTGAAATTGGAGGATTACGTCTCTCGGTATGTCTGCTGGGGCTCTGGCGTCCCTCGGGATTCGGTAGACCCCGTCTGTTAGGACCGTCTTTGTCTGTTGTGGCGTGAGTAAGGAGGTGAGGAATCGTCCGATATACCAAGGTAGATCGTCCTGGGTCACTGTTTCGGGGACCCCTTTTATTTTTATGTTACGGATTCTGTGTCGGTCCTCCACCGCATCCAGGCGGGTGGTGAGCAGGGTCTGGTTACGTTGTAACTCTACGTTTTGATCCTCCAATTGTATGCACCACACGGTGAGGCCTTGCGAGTCCACCTCTGTCTCCATGGTGAGGATCTCCTCCCTCAGAACTGCTATGTCCGCCGTGAAGAGGGAGCAGATATTACATAGGGGGGCTTTTATGTCTCCCTTAGTGGAGGGCAATTTGTTGTCTTTGTCTGAGGATATGCTGTGTAATTCCCCTGTGCCTGGGAAGTCGTCTAACTCGTCGAGAATCTGCTCTCCGGAGGAGGTCGAGGCCGTGTTGCCATTATGGCTTGGCGTGGGAACTGCTGTGGTCTTTACAGGATGGAGGAGAAGTGATCCGATATCGTGAGCCCCCATGGTGTCTGAATTTCTTTCCCATCTCGGGATATTGTATTGTGGGTTAAGATTGTTGAGTTATGGTCATTTAACCCCTTAAGGACTGGACTGTTTTTGCGATGTTGTACATTTGCGACCAGGCATATTTGTACACTTTTGTGGTGTTTGTGTTTGGCTGGAATTTTCCGCTCTCTCATTTACTGTTCCCATACAAATTATATATTGTTTTTTTCAGGACAAAAGGGGCTTTCTTTACATACCATTATTTATATAACCTCATGTATTTTAATTTAAAAAAAATAAAAAAATATGATGAAAAATTGAAAAAAATAAATGTTTTTTGACTTTTACTTGAAAAATCTTTTACTCATCTACAAAAGCGAATTAAAAAAACTGCTAAATAGATTCAAAATTTTGTCCTGAGTTTAAAAATACCCCGTGTTTACATGCTTTTTGCTTTTTTTTGCATGTTATAGGGCTATAGGTACAAGTAGAATATTGCGGTTTCAAAACATAAATTTTTTAAATTTATCAATAGTGACATTGTAACACTATTATCTGTCATAAATCTCTGAATAACACCCACATGTACATATTTTTTTTAAAGTAGACAACCCAGGGTATTCAATATGGGGTATGTCCAGTCTTTTTTAGTAGCCACTTAGTCGAAAACACTGGCCAAAGTAAGCATTCATATTTGTTTGTGTGTGAAAAAAGTAAAAACTAAATTGAACGCTAATTTTGGCCAGTGTTTGTGACTAAGTGGCTACTAAAAAAGACTGGACATACCCCATTTGCAATACCTTGGGTTGTCTTCTTTTGCAAATGGTATGCCATCATGGGGGTAATTCTCATTCCTGGGCTACCATACGCTCTCAAAGGCAACGTAACCAACCTGTCCATTTTCAATGTAAAAATATTTGACCCATATATTTGACCTTGTAACTTTCAAAAATACTATAAAACCTGTACATGGGGGGTACTGTTTTACTCAGGAGACTTTGCTGAACACAAATATTAGTGTTTAAAAACTGGAAAACATATCACAACAATTATATCATCAGTAAAAGTGCTGTTTGCGTGTGAAAAATGCAAAAAAAGTCACTTTCACTGACAATATCATCGCTGTGATATGTTTTACTGTTTTGAATCACTAATATTTGTGTTCAGCGAAGTCTCCCGAGTAAAACAGTACCCCCCATGTACAGGTTTTAGGGTGTCGTAGAACGTTCCAGGGTAAAATACAGTGCTAGCAAATTCAATTCTCTGGAATTTCGGCCTGGGTTGGCAGGCAGGTCCCTTAAATTGCAATCAATAAAATTACTGAATTATGTAAAACTATTACATAAATACGCACGTAGAATTTAAATATATATGCATATTTATATATTTGAAGTCTACGTGTATATTTATATAATTATTTATGTAATTTTGCATATGGACATATGTATATTTCTTATTATTTTTATTTATTTTTATATACATAGATATATATACAAATTCATTTTAAGTGTATTTTGATATAAATATATATATTAATTTTAAAATACAGTTAGAATAAAATTTCATATAGATATATAATTTTTTTTAATTTTTTTATTATTTTAAAAATTTTTTATTTAATTTAAATTACTTATTATTTATATTTTATAATAATATATATACAATATATATAGTTATTATATATATTATATATATACGTGTGTAATTTAATTATAAGTGTATTTTATATTAATATAAGTACATATTAATATAAAAATACACTTAGTATGGCATTATATATATGATATATAGACATATATTATATAGATATAATATATGTCTATATATCATATATACACATATATAATTATTATTATTTTTTTTATTACCATTAACTTTATTTTTATTTTTGATTTTACACTAGCAGGGAGACTGCCTGTCAGCACAGACAGTCCCCCTGCAGGCAGCACTATGGACACCTATTGTGACCATGTGATCGCTGTGTTAAGCGATCACATGGCCACAGGGGTCCTAAATCAGTGTGGGGAGACTGTCTGGGCTGCAGGCGGTCTCCCCACAACCGGAGCCACGCTGATCGCCGCCGGGGGAACGACGGCGATCAGGTAAGTACCCCCAGACCGTTAGGACGGTTCAGGACCGTCATCGGTCCTCAAGGCAAAAATGCCGATGACGGTCCTGAACCGTCCTCGGTCGCTAAGGGGTTAATTAGCAATTTTCAGGTTTTTGGTTATGGAGCTCTGTTGATGCAAGTCTGCTTCAGTTGGCTGTTGGCTCTGCCCCCCTGTTTTCTTTTTTTTTATTAATCTACTTTCTTAAGCAGCCCCATTACATCTCCTGTCCCCCTTCCTAAGCCTCTGTCCCCCTTCCTTTGCCCCTGTCCCCCTTCATTAGCCCCTGTCCCCCTTCTTTAGCCCCTGTCCACCTTCTATAGCCCATGTCCCCCTTCTTTAGCCCTAACCCCCTTCCTTAGCTCCTAACTCCCTTCCTTAGCCCCTGACACCCTTCCTTAGCCCCTGTTCCCCTTCTCAGCCCCTGCCCCCCTTCCTCAGACCCTGTCCCCCTTCTTCAGCCTATGTTCCTTCAAGACCACAGCCCAATAACATCCCCACTACAGCCCGTCTCCCCTAATTGCAACCCATTTCACCTACACTACAGCACCTTTTCCAAATGTTATCCATCAACCTACTTCAGCCCCTATCCCCCGATTACATTTCCTAACCCCCCAATTACAGCCCAAACCCTCCACTTCAGTCCGTCCCCCCCAACTAGGGATCTCCTATGGGATTCATGGGCACCAGGAACAAGGAGGTGCCACTTATCAGCATGGCACTGCTGGACAACTTGGTGTTTGGGCCAGGATCTCAATCCCCTAGCCTCCTCCACAGGAGGAGTACGGACCCCCCAAGAACTTTCGATGCACATCAACTGTCTGGAGCTCCTGGCAGGATCATTTGCCATGCTCAGCCTGGCAAAAGAATGATACAACTGCTGCATCTTGCACCGGATGGACAATGTCTCGGCGGTAAGATACATCAACCGCCTCGGGGGCACTCGTTCCCAAGCACTAGTAGAACTCACAAAGGAAATCTTCGATTATTGCCTACCATGCAACATCACGCTGTTAGCGGAACACATACCGGGGGAATCCAACATGACAGCAGATTGGTACTCATGCGACTGGCGAGACGCCAGCGACTGGCAACTAGATACTCATATTTTCGCGATACTGGATGCACAGAGAGGTCCCTTCTCCCTGGATTTGTTCGCTTCCCGCAACAACCGTCAGACGAAGGACTTCTTCAGCTGGCTCCCAGACCCGGAGAGTCTAGCAACCGACGCTTTTCTGCAACAATGGCCACAATGCGGAGCTTACGCATTCCCACCGTTCTTAATGATTACAAGAGTCCTTCACCAGATCCGCATACAGAGGGTGATGCTGACCCTCATCCAGAGCCAACCATGGTTCCCGGCTCTTCTGGAACTGTCAAACAGGGATCCCCTCCTCCTACCAGATACTCCGACCATCCTCAGGAACCCAATAGGACTACCCCATCCGCTCGTCAGGGAGGAACGGCTTCCTCTGGTGGCCTGGACTCTTTCCAGGGTTCCTGGCGAACCGAGGACTTATCGCAGGAAACTAGGGATCTCCTATGGGATTCATGGGCACCAGGAACAAGGAGGTGCTACTTATCAGCATGGCACTGCTGGACAACTTGGTGTCTGGGCCAGGATCTCAATCCCTTTACTGCACCTATTCCCTCCATCATGAATTTCCTCACCTCCCTATTCACAGCTGGAAAATCATAACGATCTATCAATGTGATACGTTCAGCCATTTCAGTGGCCCACACGTCGACTCAAGGGACACCTGTTGGTCAGGACCAACTCATCTGTAGACTCCTCTGCGGCGCCCCCCGGAACCCAAATACTCAAGACTTTGGGACGTTGGCATTGTCTTACAGTTTTTACGGGACTGGCCTCCTAACGACAAATTATCACTCCACCAGCTTACAAACCTTGTTTGTGGAAGAAAAAAAATTATACAATCAAGATGCTATTTTAATCAAACAGATGTCAATAGCTGTACATCATGAAAGCTGACATAACAAATGCTATTTTATGGGTATTCCAAGCAGTCAGTTCATGAGACTTCAGAGAAACTGTTCAATGCTAACTGATTTTAAATACAGAAAAAAAATTTGACAAGAAATATAATTACAAGTGGAAAAAACTATTAGAGGGTTTTAAAAAATGAGAGATTATTCAAAATTTTCATTTGTACACAGTATAATTCAGAACATTAAAAGTAAAAAAATTTTTGGATAAATAATGACCAAAGCTGCTGGAGGATCTTGTGTTGAGCAGAGAATTACCCAATAACCCAAGAAAGCTGACAATATTAAGAAATTAGTTGTTTTGAGTATTGCTCTAAAAATGTAAAAACTATAAAAAAAACAAATCCAGTTGGAAAAGGATTTAGAAAATGCAGTAATTGCAAAACTTGTAGATTCCTATTGGCAGTCAAACAAGATAGTTTCTTGAGTAATCAAATGTGAGAACATTTTACAATAAAACAAAGCCTAAGTTGTATGTCTATATATGTAGTATACTTATTAGAATGCCCTTGTGGAGCATTTTTATAGTTATTGTATATGTTTTTATTATAATTTTATATATATATATATATATATATATATAGAACAAGAAAAATGGTAATTCCTGCACTCCAACCTGCATAAATATAAATACCTGGTGCTCAGGTTGCAAAAATTGATAAATACAAAAAATATAGCCGGCACTCACGGTTTTCTCGAATGGTTTCTCTTTAATTCTGAATATCGAAGTTTCAGCTCCCTAAAGGAGCTCCTTTAGGGAGCTGAAACTTCGATATTCAGAATTAAAGAGAAACCATTCGAGAAAACCGTGAGTGCCGGCTATATTTTTTGTATATATATATATATATATATATATATATATATATATATACACATATGAACACTACATATATATATATATAT